TGTGTCCGCAGCTTTAAGTCGTATCTCCTCCTCAACGAAGCAATATCGAGGACTAGTTCCGAGGATGATTGTGGGCCAAAAAAATTCCCGGAATTCCTTCCTGGATTTCCCGGAAAAGCCAAAAAAACTCGAAAAAATGCAGTTTTTGGCCCATATCTCGGCAACCAGACCACTTAGCGACTTAAACCATTTACCAATCGATTCCTGCCATAATTTAGAACAATATTGCCGAAGAAAGTTTTCAAAAATAACATAAGGAAATTGCGCTTAAATTGTCACTAGACTTTTTATTAACTTGTTTTAGTTTGTGGCATTGTGTATTTCTGGACCGTTGGGGTCGACGTGGTCGGGTTGGCAGAGCTAATGGTTGTTGAACCAAAATCACGACCGACACGACCGCTGGGGACAGCAACCTAACTAAAAGAGAAAACACTCCAATCAAACAACTGCTGCGTTGTAGATTGTTCTTGGTTAGACAATGACCTATGGAAGCAAATCCAGAATGAAATGAAGGCTTGAATCGGAGTCAACGGCCTGTATGGTACATAACAAGTTGACACGTAACACTTAATTGTGTTGTAAAACAACTGGCGGTGCCACGACGTTGTTTTAAGTCCGTTACTGTAAACACATTTTTTCTATGGCGGGTAGGCCTATATAAATAGTACATTTTCGGAACTTTTAGACATATGTGCCTTATACTGGTTGGTTTAATTGTGTTGTAAAACAACTGGCGGTGCCTTGACGTTGTTTTAAGTCAGTTACTGTAAACACATTTTTTCTATGGCGGGTAGGCCTATACAACTAGTACGTTTTCGGAACTTTTAGACATATGTGCCTTATACTGGTTGGTTTAACTATACGTTAGATTCTACTCCACCTGCTAAATGTGTGGTTTGAGCAGCGGCGTAGCGAGGTCGGGTGTCACCCGGTGCGGCACTTAATGGTGTCACCCCCCCCCCCCCCCCAGAGGCGTAGCGACCCTTCCCGTGAACAAACCTCTTAAATTTTCGATTTGCACTCCCCCCCCCCCCCCACTCGAACTTTCGATTTGCACCCCCCCCCCCCCGAACTTTCGATTTGCACACCCCCCCTCAAGTTTTTCTCTATATATTTTGCTATTTTTTGCCTTGGTGTCACCCCCCTAAATGGTGTTACCCGTGGGAGAAAGGCTGAGAAAAAAATACTTTAATAGATCTGAAAAATTATACTCCGTGTTTAAATAGTAATATTCATAAATAACTTTTTATTTGAAGTGTTTGTTGCGTGATTTAATCAGATTCTACCATAGCCCTTCATTGACAACCCATTTGTTAAAGGTCCTTTCCCACCAATGATGTCAGAATACTGAGCAGACCAGAATCGCCGAAACAGAGGAAAGCCACAATGCAAGATCTTGAAAAACAGGCGTCGGAATTAGATAAAGAATTCTTCTAGGAAAACTTGGTAAGCCATCAACTGAGTGAATATTTTATTTATATTTTTTTTATTTTTTTATTTTTATTTTTTATTCGCCTTAGACATGTAATTTACAGCGTCAGTAGTGTGTTCGCTTTAGTATTAGTTTTCATCATCGGCTTGTGAGGACTGAACAGTGTTTCTTCCAGACTTTTTTCTCCGGGTAGGGGGGGGGGGGCACTTGAAATTTTCGGGGGGGGGGGGGGCGGTAGACTTTCTTCGGGGGGGGGGGGGCGGACACTGTTAAAAGTATATACATTTTCTATATAAATTATATAAATTTCATTTCGTTCGGGGGGGGGGGGGGGGGGGCGGTAGAATTTTTTGGGGGGCTCCTTCCCCCCCCCCCCCCCCACCAGAAGAGATGCCTGGAAGAAACTCTGGGACTGATACAGATTTACAATAGTAATATTTCTTTCTTACTTGTGGCCTACTTGCATTCATTTAAGATGGTTTACTTATACATAGATCTAATTCGAAACGTCTAATTACAATTTTATTTTTAGATACTTTTTTTTAAATACTGCAAGTAATTACAATAATGCCAGATTTTTATTTTAAGCTTTGATGTTTTGTCTGTTTATTTGGGTTTGTTTTATTATTATTTGTTTTTGTTTGTGGGATGTAGAAAATCTTAATTTTGACCCATTTCTAATGAAGCGTATTTCGTTCTCACTTTCCGGATAAATTTGTCTCGGGTGACAATGCAAGAATTTTTTTTTAATGTAAATGTAATTAGACATTTGGGTACTCGTTAAAATTAAATTTTAAAATTAATATAAAAGGGGAGATAACAAGCAAGAATAAATAATAGCGATTGCACGATGAGCTATTCGGCGAGCGTGAATTGGTACCTGAGCTTTAACCACAGACTAAGAAAGGGCAAATAGTTGTCTTTGAGATAATTCAAGCTTTTTATTGAGTTTTTATGCAAATAGCTTTAGTTCTCAGTGGCGTAGCGAGGTCGGGTGTCACCCGGTGCGGCACTTAATGGTGTCAGAGGCGTAGCGACTCTTCCCAGGGACAAACTTTCAATTTTCGATTTGCACCCCCCCCCCCTCAAAGAATCGCTTTGCAACCACCCCCCCCCCTCAATTTTTCCTCTATATATTTTACTAGTTTTTGCCTTGGTGTCACCCCCTTAATGGTGTCACCCGGTGCGGTCCGCAACCTCCGCCCCCCCCCCTCGCTACGCCTCTGTTAGTTCTAGTATGTAAGAGATCTTATGAGCGACCAAAACGTTTATTAAAGGAAGCAAGTTGTTTATTTTCTTATTCTCTGAGCATTTAAAAACTTATTATTAGAAACATGTTTTTTTGTGTTTGTTTTATTTGACATACAGAGATACAAACTGTCACTGTTGGACATGGCGTTACAAGGTCGGGTGTCACCCCATCCTCCAACAACTATGCATTTTTGTTTTGGTGTCAACCCCTCTTCACTACTTGTCTATTATTTTTAACTTGGTTTTCTCGAGGGGGGGGGGTGACAAAATTCTGCAGTGTACTTCGTGGATGTTTCCAGCTTGAAAATGTGTTCTGACAACAATTTGAAGCTAGTAGGAGGCAGAGTTTTTTTCCAGGTATCTCTTCGGAAGGAGGGGGCGTCTGCCGTCGCCGCCCCCCCCCCCCCCAGAAGAATATCTAACCCCCTCCCCTCCGAACGAAATGGAATTTATATAGAAAATATATACTTTTAATAGTGTCCGCCCCCCCCTCGAAAATTTTAGTCCACCCCCCCCCCCCCCTCCTCCCGAAAATTTAAAATGCCCCACCGGAGAAAAAAGTCTGGTAGAAAGGTGGGCCATCCGTATATCTCAATTATCACTTCCCCAATCTATATTTAACTTTGTTAACGTTATTTATTTTTAATTTTAATGTTTTGGTTCTCACAGGGTGTAACGATAAGGAAACCATGTACGATAACTCCTACTGGCACAAGCTTGAAACGGAGTGGTCTTTTATGGTGTAACAATGCTTTGAAAGTAAATGTAAACATACTAACATATATAATTGCCTTGAGTTGGTTTGTTTTTAAATATTCACTTCGATGTATCATTTTTGTGTGCTTTTTACTGTATTTAGTGTGACGGTGTAGTCGACTGGTAGAGCATTCAACTGCTGAATCGAAAGTCTCGAGTTTGGATCTTTTTCAGGGCTATAGTCTTCATGACGTGCCTGAGTCCACCCAGCTCTAGTGGATACCTGACTCGCGCTCGGGAAAGAAAGGGCGACTAGGAATACTGCTGACCACACCATACCTTTCATATTCCGATGTCAAGAAACATAAACTCTACCTTATCTGTCCTATGTATTATCGGTTCTGAAAGATGATGTTTACTTGAATGTAGTTTATAGGGACGCATTCAAATACAAATAGCTCATATGGCTGAGTCTGTGTTACCCTTACCATCACCCCCACCCCCCACCATATACACACACGAGCCTCGTTATCATCAGTAAAAACCCCTATATCCCTCGACCGTATGTATAGACGACCCTTGATTAAACATTATATATTCTCAATCTCATGGCATAGGAAACAAACGGCAGATCGGCAGAGGGCAATGTGAATGCTTCCATCTTTCGCTGGAAGTAAAGTGGAGGCTTACTAAATAATGGAATTGACATGTAGTTTATAGCTTATTATAAAATCTACTTAATAATTTTATGAAACTGCTTTTATTATATTTGAGTAGCCAATTGGATTGCGTGATATTCATTAACTGAACTGGATTGTAAACATTCATCCACACATTGCAAGTTGCAAGCATTCATCAAGATATTGATTTTACTGAATTTGCAAGTAATCATCAACATATTGATGTAACTGAAATTTAAATACTGGATGGGGGGTCGCTTTATTAAAGACATGATATGTCATTATCAGCTGGAAAGGTAGACTACATTATAGAAAAAATTGGAAAATTCAGTGGAATTGCTGTGCCAGGTAAGCTATTTGCTGTCGCCTCAAAACCCCACGGACAGCGGGAAATGTGTGCCAGGCTGTACTGACATCCGCAACCTTCTTTGAAATCTGTTATACTGGGCAGTTAGCAATAGAAACGATGACCACAGACCGTTAGAAATTCCTCCAGAGTTCTCTGTCCTATGCCATCTTCTCAACCTGACTCTAGGCGAATCCTATCTTTGCGGTTTCAACCAGTTTCTTCCAGGCATCCCTTCGGGGAAGGGGGGGGGGGGGGGGGGCGAAGAAAGTCTACCCCCCCCCCCCCCCCCGGAGAAAAAAGTTTCAACCCCATAACCCAGCAGAGGTGACGGCAGTGATATTAGGTTTAGAAAGTATGGCTGGATAGCGTGTGATTGTTTGCTTCAAAAGCAACGACTTTGGACCCGGGGCGGATGAGGATTCATTACAGCTTGTTCAAAAGTCATGGAAGCTAATCAAATCAGAGTTAACGGCCCGTATAGTGAATACTATTTTGACACGAAAACACTTGTTTGTAGACAGACAATATTTCACATTAGGCCTAGGCCTAGTATTAACAAAACTGCGAAAAGCTGTTGTTTCATCCAATCATGATGCAGGTGTTTTAAGATGGCGGCTGCAAGAAATTATTCGCTTTTTTTATTTTGATAAACAATGTAATTTAATGTAGCCCAAGCCAAATAATTCGAATACTTAAAAAAAGGGTAAGTGAGTGGTACATTTCTTTGGTAAAGCATTACTGGTTCTTACTCAGCTGTATGGTAACTCTTTGTAAAACAATACAGTCCACCGAGTAATCAGTGCGGTATTCTATCGTTTTAAGTTTTAGGCAGGTAGGCCTACCTACGGGCTACGAGTACGACTATAAAATAACTTAAGTACTAAAAAATAAGTAGACGTAGAATCTAAAAATCGGCCGAGACTAGATCTAGTAATGTGGAAAAAAGGTGACTCCTTAAATTTTGTAATTAATTCACAATTTTAGGAAGATGTATGTTTTAAAAATTAGAAAAATGTTTCAAAGTTTCATTTATATTGATTATTGACATTTATTGTACCTGTTTTTGGTAATCTATCGTTTTAGGTACGTAAAATCGCCCGCGGCTAGTAATGTACGAAACAGTTACCTCATTGTCAAGGCTTTTAATAGAAGTATATTGTGATATTATATTTGTGTAAAATATTATAGATAAATGTAAATGAATAGGCCTAATAAACCTATATTCTATATCAACGGCTAAATAAATCAATATTTATATAGGCAAGAATTTAACTTTAACAGCAGTGTTTGCGAGCAGGATTTGCTATAGAAGGTCTATATATAAAAAGCGGCTATCTATAAGTTAGAGTGGCTTCCCCTGAATCTTGCGCTATAAGTTTTCAATAAAAAAAATAAACCAAGATGGCTGCTATAGTAAATAAGCATGGTTGCATCTGTTGGAAACATCGCTAGTCTTCATTTATTACTGAAAAGTTTTAATTCAATTGTTTAAAAACAGGTACATAAATGAAACAAGGAAACATTTTTGTATTTTTTTTCAAAACATAAATCCTCCTCAAAATGTGAAATAATTATTAAAACTGAAGGAGTCACCTGTTTTTCACATTACTAGTCGCAGGCGATTTTACGTACCTAAAACTATAGATTACCCAGTTTTTAAACATTTACAATTGTATTAAAACTTTTCAGTAATAAATAACGAAGTGACTACTCGGAAAAAGATTTTTCGCCCCAGCGTCGCCATTTAGTCGGCAAAAAATAGTTTATTGCATGCGCAGGGATCTTAATAGCTGAGGGTTAGGGATAGGGTTCTGCTGTTTGTTTGTAAATACATGCATGCGCAGCACCATCGAAAACATCCCTGCTAAGGAAAGTCATAGTTTCTATCCATTGCACATGCGTATCTTTTTCCGGCTAGAATCGGCCAATAAATAAAGACTAGCAATGTTTTCATCAGATGCAACCAAGCTCATTTACTTTAGCAGCTATCTTGTTTCTAAAAATTTAAAAATAACAAAGAAAAAATACATTAAAAATCTCTTGTCTCGAAAGAAAATCAAAAGCTAACAAAGCAAAAATGTTTCGTAAAATGTCTTTCTGTTTACCTGTAATCCCGCAGGTATATCTCGCTTTATTTCTAAGTTTTTTAATTAAAATACTTGTACTTTGTCTTTAGGCCTACAGTTAAGCCAAACACTTAAAAAGAAAATGCTCTGTTTAGTATCCTATCGGCTTCCTTAACCCTACTGTTTTAAAAAATCATTTTTGAATCTTTTTTTTCCTCTCCAGAAATGGTTTCAGTTATACAGTGGAATCGCAGAGGCCAAAGTCACATAATAACCAAGCTGGTGATTTCTTTAATACTTGTTGCTGTAGCCTTCAATGAATATTTTGTTTATACCATCCAATCTTTAAGATGGATCACTATAAAATCACCAAGGTATTATGCGTTTAAAAAATATTTTGAGAACTACTTTTCTTATTTGAAAAGACTAAAGAATCTATATAGGCCTATATATAATTCTCTTCTGGGAGAAGCTAGAAAACAAGCTGTAAACGTGCTCCCTACCTCCCCACCCCTACATGGTCTTGGTGAGCTGTGTTCACTCTAAATGTTTACAAGCAGAGCCGGGTTTAGTGACGACTATTAGGGGCAGATAATTTAGTTTGAAACGATTTTAAACGTAGGGGGGGGGGGTATGGTTCTTAACGAACTACTTATAGTGTTTTAAAGAAATATTTTCAGTTGCAGCGTTGATACTGTTGAATTCACAAATTATGAATTACTGAAAGTAGAAAAAACAACAATTAAATAGCGGCGTATGTTATGCCGCGGGCCAACTCGTTTTCTTTAATATACCACTAATTTACTTCCATAATGCTAATAACTTGATTAAGATAATATTTTACTACTCTGATGTTTTAATCATTATACTTGGTAAATATTCACTCAATCCCTAGCCTATCCCTGAAACAGACCCACATTATAAGGTGTGGTACAATCCATTTCAAATATCATGTATATAGAGATTCTAATAATAGTTTTTTGAGAAAGGAACAGTGTGGTTGAGCGCACAATGGCAGGAAGTTGGTTCCGGGGGGTGTTGTCAGCAGAATATCCCTTAGTCCACACAAATTCGAAAAATTACAGAGTAACGCAGCCTGACTTCCCTTAGAACAGCGAGCGCTGAAAGAATACAAAAATGTATTTTGATCAGGTTTAAATTTGTAACACTATGCTAATATTTTGTACAGTGAACGGAACCATGAAATGGTCATTCTTCTGATATCAGATCCCCAACTAATTGGGATACAGGATGAAATAGGATTTCCTGTTGGTCCACTGGCAAGATGGGATTCAGACAGGTAAAGATGCTTTAAATTATAAAACATCAGTATTACTTCAGCTTCCAACCTTAACAGGCAAATGACAAAATGAAGGCTGAGGTACAAACAGTTTAAGAGAACACACAGTATTAAAAGATGCAGCAATAATAAATTTTAAATAAGCGGGTATCATAACAGCCTTGATTTGTCTTCGGCAAAGTGCTTTAAACTTTTTTTAATTAGTCAACTGGGTGGACTCAGGGATGACCTTTTATACACTAATCTTTAAGTATAATATACAGTTTTACCTAAAGAAGACGTTCTCTCATGTGTATGAGCTTTAAATGTGATTGACATTTGCCTAAGAAAGACATTCTCTCGTGTTTGTATGAGCTTTAAATGTGATTGACAGTTACCTACGGAAGACATTCTCTCGTGTGTATGAACACACACAGCCTGATGTCATCATCTTCCTGGGAGATATAATGGATGAAGGCAGCAAGGCCACAGATCTGGAGTATGAATCTTATTTTGACAGATTCAATAGCATTTTCTACGAGAAGAAGCACTCAAAGGTTTGTTCTTTTATAGTTTGTGTTCACTTTTTTGTAAATTATTTTTAAGTTTTCTATTAAACTTAACCAGTGATGATGACATGCTGTTTTTTATGTACAATTTTATAATGAACATTAATAGGTTTCATCATTAGGTGACCTTAGCACTTAGTTTTATTGTATTTAAATATAGAAGAAAGCTGTTTTGTTTTTAAATTCAGTTAAAAAATGTAATCAATTTATCAGTATGACCCCAAAATTAAATTTTTTGTGCTGTAAGTTTAATAGAAAAAGCAGGAAGTTTTGTATTTTTTTTTAACCATAAAATTATAGGAGATGCATTTTTTATCATTAACAATGCTTTTCAAAAAGGGCTTTCCTTATAAGTATAATTTTAGATAATTTGATAATTATAATAGTTTTTTTTATGAATAAATGTTCAAAGTGATATATTTTTATTTAGGTATGCAGAAATGTGGATAAAAATTGTTTTGTGATTGAAATGTATGTATATATTCTGACTTTTAGACTTTTGAAAGTTACCATTCAAAACCTTTTCAGACAATTGTAATACCAGGAGATAATGACATTGGTGGGGAAGGCAGTGATTTCAGAACAGCATCTAAAGTTAGGCGTTTTGAAAAACATTTTGAAAATCTGACGGGGGTCGTCTCCCATGGCTTTGTTGACTTCCTGAAGGTAAAGTGACCAGTTTAGATTTGATTTTTGTTTCTCGGATACACTTGTTCACAAAGTTTTTATATTTGAAAAAAAAACTATCAGATAGAACCAATAACATATATAAATTTAAATTAAGTTGCCTTATAGGTTTAAAATCTAATTTTCCCAACAACTTGTTTCCATTTGTTTTTTAAATTTTTTACAAAGCTTGACAATCGCAGAGCGAAAGACCTGGTGATAGAAACCAAGCAACTCATCAGCAGTTTCGCCAGCCAACTTAAAGCCACCTATCGAATGATTGTTAACCATGAGAGTATGATTACTAAATCAAAAGGCTCAATTTATCCAGTAAGTAAAACATTTGTTTATGCTGCTTCTGTAGGTATAGAATAAATAAATTGTTTTATTCTCCATTCTCTCGATAACAAATCCGAATTACTAATTCTCCACTCCATTTGACATTAATCATTTTTGTGCTTAAATAAAAGAAACCTCGATAATAACAAAGATTTAATTAGTAACCTAGATGTTTATCGAATTCTATAAAACCAAAATTAATCTTTTATTTATATGTTAAATTTAGATTAAATTTGAATTTTTACTTATTTTACATTCAACATCACCTTCCCAATCTTGTGTGACTAGGTACATAAAAATGCTAACAAATTCTACTGTAAAAACTAAGACTCAATAGCTAGATCAGTGAAACACTTTTTTTTTCTATTGTTTCTGAAATACAATTCTATTCGCGTTCTACAAAGGGTATCACAAAAAATAAGTTCAGTACATTTCCTATTTAAACAAAAAAATAAATTTATTCACTGCTGCGCAAGAATTGTAACAATATTGCAGTTTCATGAATGCTGCATATATATGTACATTACATTTTGCTGTGGATTCCCTGCAAAAGGTGTAAACAAATTTTTAAAATTTTACTACCAGTGTGTTGAATGTTTTTTTCCTTTCTTGATTAGGGCAACTCAATAATAGTGAATCATTTTTTGTGGATCTCATGCATGTTGATTTTGAGTCCTACAAATAACCAAATTTAATGACGTTTTGGCTTTCCTGAAAAGAAAATATTTTGTTAAAACACAATTTTAACAAAATAAATAAATAAATGGCCAATGATCCTTTTGGTACTTCTTCAAATGTTTGCATGTTATAGTTATTATTTTTGTTACTTACCATTGTCCTGATAATAATAGCAAATATTTGCGGGGAAAATTATATAAAATTTTTTCTGTCAAACCCTTTTTGTGCTCATGGATTATTATTATTGCGCCTTTTTACAAAGAATGTATCATTTTATTTTGATCAAGGTTAAAGTATCTTTTTTAATCCAGTTTAGGGCAAAAACTGTTGGTAAAGTTGATTTCAATGAGAAGCATTCAATTTTAAAAATTATTGCATTGCAGATTCTTCGAATGGCACAACCCAGAATAATATTCTCAGGTCATTGGCACTTGGTAAGACTTTAGATTGCGTCAGTGTTCTAACTCTTTTATTCATACTGCTGAACTTAGATTGGATGGAAAAGTTTATATAATATTTTAATCAATATTCTACTAAAAGTCACTGTTGTTTACAAGTTTGTATATTTATTTCTTTGTCTGTATTGCTTGACTAGAGCATCTGCACTATGTTTATAACTGTAAAAAAAAAATGTAAGCTGAGGTTTAACTTCTTTTTTAGATTTAGATGTGAAAGATATTAGTTGCCTTTCTGATTTGGCAGGGGATGGGGCAGGTGAAGTAGAGTTCACCTTTTTCTGTGACCTCAGCATATGAAGGCATAGTGTGGTCAGACCCTTGCTCTGCCGAAATTGGTCTTTATAAACACAAGCTGAAGTGTGACTCTTTTTAGAATGAAATTGTTGCCTTTCAGTCTTGGTGGGACGCAGAGAAGGTGAAGTAGTGTTCACCTGGTTCTGTGATCTCATCATACGAAGTGATAGTGTGGTCAGACAAAAACATGCCTGAGGTGTGACGTCTTTTTAGATGTGGGGGTTTGGCTTTTTGTGACGATAAGTCACAGTGGGTAGATAAAAGTACTAAAATAGTCAAACTAAAGTGACATCATTTATTGATGTTCCTCAAAACCCACAGTTATCCAAGGATAACTGGTAGTCTTGTAAGTTTTGAAATCCATGTTTTTAATGTGAAATTTTTTTTATTGTTCTTTTCTAGTCTCAGATGTTCACCTGTGCTACATGCCTAGCTGATGATGAGGACATGAACAACTGGCCATACCATGCTAAAGACATCTCTAACATAGAAGACTTTGTAGAAGTGGACTTCTCAGATCTAATATCCCTGAGTGAAATAATGGTGCCAACTTGCAGTTACAGGATGGGGGTTCCAAACATGGGTTATGGTGTTGCAATTTTAGGTAATAATTTTATTTAATCACCCAGAGATATTGTGACCAGACTAACAAAATTTAGGAAAAAAGTTTAATTTGTCACTATGTTAACTATGTCCATTAAAAAGACCAAGCTTAGTACTTAGTGTTTGTTGAAATTGAACACTTTGTCTATAATTTAGTCAGAGACTTTGAGTATATGGAAGCAGAAGATAGAGTTAGCATTACTACATAATAACATGCACGAAATCTACCAAACTGTTACATGTTTATAAAATTATTGGATAATAGGCGTGGTCAGGTCGGTAAAGCTCATGGCTGCTATACTGAAATGCCCCTAGTTTGAACCCCGAGGCACATATGGCTCGATAGCTTGGGACAGCAACCCATCTAAGAGAGAAAACTCCAAAATCAAACAACAGCTGCATTTTATTTTTAGATTGTTCTTGGATGGACAAAGGCTTTGAAAGTAAATTCAAATAGAAAAGAAGGCTGAAATCATAGTCAACTGCCTATTTGGCACATAACAAGTCGACATGTAATCCTTAATTGTTTAAGGAAATCCTGTAGAAAATTACTGTTAAAAACAAAGACTATTATACCAGTTTCATCATTTGATAAATACCAGAGCTTGAAAATAAATTTTCTCATTGTTTGACTGACGCAACAAACTTTGCTTCTTGCATCTACCAAGTGTTAATACAACATATCAAAGTCTTGAAGACAATTTGACAATTTACACTGGAATATAAAAATGAACTTAGTACCAACTTCAGTATTTCATGCAGCATTTATTTTTGTTAAAATCAGTTCTGTGACACCAAAATGGCTTTTTATTTAATTTTAGTTGTAACTTTTTCTGCTGTAAACAATTTCTTCTAACTATTTAACATTGGCACTGCATATTAAATCAATGTGTACCAATATTCAGTTTGCTTCCCTGGTGCTGACTTCATAATTTACTGCAGTTCTAATGAGGCACTAATATTTTTTTTTAAGTCTAGCAAAAACAAAATCCCACCAATTTTGTAACATCAATGAGCAAATTGAAATTGAAAGTATTTAAATAATATACTTATATATATTTTCAACTTAATATTAGCAGCTTTAGCTTCTGAAGTATGAAAGGCCAAAATTTATTACTGTGAAATGCATCTTTATTAAAATAATTAACTTGAACTAATTAGCCAGTTTTATGCGCTACAAAAAGCTTGTCTATATTAATACTATTTTTTACCTCAACATACCATTTTTTTTAATTTCAGATGAATCAGGACACATGAAGTATACAATCCTTTGGCTGCCAAGCCGCTATAAACTTTTATACATATACGCTGGAGTGCTAGTCATTGTTGCTGTTTTGTTTTTGATAAAATTCATAATTTCACCACCAAAAAGAAGAGGCATGTACAGATGATAATATTATTAGCTTATTATTAAAATCGTACTCAATCATTGCTGTAGACAAGACAGGAAAAATGAAATGCAGATTTGTGGCCTGGGGTTAGTTTACATATGATTAAGTTTACTGTTGAGATTACAACTATACAACAAGGAAATATTGAGCATCTCATGTTTTTAGTGAGAATTTTTGTATATCCATTTATAATCTGTATTTGATCTGTAAAGCTGTCAACTTAGATGTGCTAGGCAATTTGTTGTTAGTTATTCATTTATTGTAATAAAATACCAACTGGCTGTGAGGGGGCAAATAAATGTAATGGATCTACCTGATACAGCAGAGACTGTCTCACACAAGTTCAAGTAGACCACCCAAATAATAGAGATGTCTTTTCTATTCGTCTTTTTTACAAAGTACATGTTATACATAACAAAATATTTTTATACTCAATTATATATTATAAGGTTGTTGATCCAGAATAGCTGTATATATGTATAATAAAGTGTATTTAATTAAACCACTGATTTCAGTAATTCTTGACAAATTACATTTACCTGCTGAGTTTGATTGTTAAATTTTAAAATCATTGGAAAAAAAAGCACCATTCTGAAGAACCCAAGGCTCATTCAACTGCTGTCTTAATAAAAATTCAAGCTGGTGTTAACCAAGAAATTAGTTTTTTAAATTTTCAGAATTTATACTTTTAAGTTTAAGGTTTTGATGGATAATTTTCTTTATTTAGTAAGACACCAGCAGCTGTGCAAAGTTTCATAGTTGCTATTAAACCGTTTTGACATGTAGTGTGGTCAGCACTGCGCCCAGACACCTTTACTTTCTTCAATAAGTCAGGATGTACTCAGTGATATCCATGTTAAAGTCAGATTCCAACCATCAGGCTAGCACCATGTCAGGTCATACATGGTTAATGATAGCTGGTTTGATAGAAATGTAGTGTTGATGCTATTTGACCTAATTTAAATAATCCAGTCTATGAGGTATATCCACAATTTAATTTTAAGTTGTCAACACCATAACAATCATACTAAGTAATAGTAGCAATGAACATTTATGCAATTGATCTGTGTCAAATTCAATGGCCATACAAATGAACTAATTAGTTATATACATAAAAAAGTAAGGACACAAACTAATAATATCATACATACTTTTATTTTCTTAATATTTAGATTTGACAAACCAGAACTACAGCTGTTCTTATGACAATAGCAACTCCTTGAGGAATGCAACATCCAAATATCTTAAAAATTCCTATCTCTATCTGCCAATAAGTAATACTCTCAGAGTTAATACTACGACAATAGAATCATACATCATAGTTAAAAAAGTTACACTGAACAGCACAGTAACAGCAGCATGAATATTTAATACCCACTAAACACTCTAAAACTAATGCTGTTCCATTGAAACAAATTATCTTCTTACTAGCACAATCACCTGAAAGCTTCCTAATACACATATTCACAATTATAATTGCAGCGCAATCAAAAAGTCTTAAAAACACCCCACGAAAAAACTCATGTAGTCTAGTCACAGAATCTACAGATCCTCATGTAACACTATGAACTTTGTATTGGCATCTTTTTAAGTATGAATGAAACATCTTGTAAAGCCTTGCAAATCTGACATTCCTCTTATCAATAAAAGGGAAATATTCCACTTGTGAAGATGACATTTATTAAATGAAAATTTAAAATGGTCCATGGTTGTGGTGACAATATAAAAAAGGAAATAAAAATCTACACGGATTGGTGGTTGTACAACAATGATGAACAGTTCAAATGTACGCAGGACCCAAACAACATCAAATAAAATGAGCTTGAACACTAAAAGGGTGGTTATGCTGCCTTTTGAGACCCCTTCTTTCCTATCAGTGATTTGTGAATATGGGGAATAACACCTGAAAAGAAAATGATATACATCAGTGAGACGAAAATACAAAAACGATATTTCTACTACTCTATCACTACCATACTTAAATCCCATACAATGTAACTCATAAGCAGGGGCTAAACTACTTCTGATCTTCAGCACAACTATGTGTATGACCATAGTTTTAATAATTCGTTAAACATAAAAGCCACATTCTACTTAATATTCTTCTGCAATATCTACTCTAAAATGTGATTTTTGGAATATTGGAGAACCACACACAGGTAATTTTTACCAGGATTTAAAAAAAAAAAAAAAAAAAAAAAGACAACTGATGACCAGAACTATATTTAAGTTGATATATTTGCATCTGATCGAATACCTAACAGAACCAAAATATACGGCAAACTCGGCAAACTAATATACAGTCAATCTAATTCAGGTTCTTGTTGATGACTCAAATCTAATTGAGCCTGGAATCAATTTGGTACAGCGGAAAGCAGTTTACTCCTCCCAAAACAATATTATTTACTTAAATGTTTATTTAATAACCTTATATTTTTTTTAATGATTTACTTATTTATTAAAGAAGATTGCACCACTAGAAGAGAACAAAAGCAATTTCATGAAAAATTCTTCATCTTGAAAAATTAATGTTTCAATGATTTTATGAATGTAAAACTAAATAAAATCTATTTTAAAATACCATCAATTGTCACTGACTAGATCAGTAAAAGAACTATTACTTTGATATACATAAATTTGCAAGTACTTCTAATAAGAATATCTAATAGGAAAACCTAGCAGTATGGGCTATATTTTCAATTGAAAAAATTATTTCCAACAGGCAAACATCAATCAAATAATTAAAACGTAAGTGGTAACAGCTTAGAAGCCCCTTATTAACAATTAAACAATTAAAATACAATAAAAACAAGATGGGTAATGCTGGTCACAATAATTTTCATTACTAGCTAGATGGTGTGGATTGAAAATAGAAAATCTATAAACAAATGTCATCACCATGTATATTCAGATCTGCCTAGTGTTGCAATAATTTAAAAATAAATCTACTTACCACCACCAGCAATGGTAGCTTTGATTAGGGAATCCAACTCTTCATCTCCTCTGATAGCCAACTGCAAGTGACGAGGTGTGATACGTTTTACTTTCAAATCTTTACTTGCATTTCCAGCCAACTCCAGAACCTAGAAAAGAAACATGCTCATCTACAGATCATATTGTAAAATGTTAATTCTGATGGAATAGTTCTCCCACTTATAACCGGTATCAATAAAAGCTAAGAGTTTAGATTATTATGTGTAGTTGGGAAAGGGTTCACCAAAGATCATAACAGGGGAGCGGAGTGCAATTAAAAAAAAACACCCAAATCTACCTTCTAATTTAAGGTATCAATCATAATCAGTAATTCAAGGAGTATTTGCTATCATATCAGCATTGATGATGAGTACATGTTACAGTTTAATAACTGAGTTCAAACAAAAGTAAGATAGACTTAATAAATTAAAGAGTTGCAGTAGAGACAAGTATAAATAGTTATTAAATAGGGTCAAGAATGGATCCAGCTGTTTTACCCTGTAGTTACTAGATCTAGAATCTAGATGAAAACTACCATGGCCTAGAGTTAGCTCTAAGTTGAAAACTATGAACTCATAATAATAGTTACTGAGTACTGAGCAGGTAACACACTAGTCAGGAAGTCACTAGATCTAGCCTTTTTTTTCAGAATTTAAAGTCTAGATCTAGATCTTGTTAGATCTAATCATAAAGTTATAGGTATAGTATAGGGTTTAGTTAGGGAGAGCAGTTTGCTTGACTGAGTCTTTTCTTAGATCTAGATTCTATAGATCTAGCTACATCTAGCTAGATCTAGTAGATCTATAAAACTATAAAGTATAAACTAGGGGCTAGGCCTTTTTCATTTACATGTTACACCTTGGTGAAAAGATGCTTTACTACACAATTGAACTCGATTTCTATGCTAAAGAAGTAAGCATAGAAATCTAGAAATAGGAAGGAAAATATTAATAACTTCTAGATATATTTTATGGCGCTTAGAATAATTCCCGCCAATTTCGTAAAAGCTTTTACCGTAAAAGCAGTCTGTAAAAAACGAGCAGCAACTGCGTTTTAAAAAAGGCTATCAAATCACTCAAATCAAATTGATTCGCCTGAGCACTATGCCTAGATCTAAAACCTACACTATACAACAAATAAAGACAATACATAAGGAATCTTCTTTCTAAAGCCGATAAAAATAAATTAAAATACACAATGAGTGACAATGGCTTAGATTCCGGAAGTAGGGTTTGTTTTGATTTTGTGATAGAATTTGAATGTTCACCATTTATTTTTTTTATAACAAAAAACGGTTGCAAGTAATCATAACTTAATTTTAAAAACAGAACTATTGACACTCACTTCAGCAGTCAAATATTCAAGAATAGCTGCGCTATAAACGGCAGCCGTCGCTCCAACTCTCCCATGACTTGTAGTTCGCGTCTTTAAGTGACGATGGATACGACCGACTGGAAACTGAAATAAAATTATGAAAACATACAATAACATCATGCAATATTAAACATAAAATGAATTGCTAATTTGGTACAATTTTAATTACTATTAAAATCGCAAATATAATAATTTACCTGAAGCCCAGCACGGGCTGATCGAGATACTGCTTTGGCTTTAGCCTTTCCAGAATCCTTTCCAGCTTTACCACCAGGCTGTAAAAGAAAGAATGAAGATGATTTAAAATATTGCTTATATCGATTTCACGATGTTTTAAAATCTGTAATAATTACATATAATTAATATAGATGACAGATGGGTTCTTCTGGATACGATATTGCTGGATTTTCGTACCATCTTGATAGTCAAATTCCGTGTTCAAGCGAAGTAAAATGAGTCGACAGGAATCCCTCAGACCTTAGGGGTGCCTAGCGTCAGTTTAAAGTACCACGTGATCTCGTCAACCAATGGAATTGCTAAGCTTTTCATAACATGTTAACTTTCCGCGCTTTATTCTTCTGTTTATTCGGTTCTATGCCTACACTTTAAAGCTAGGCAGCATTAATTCGATTTATTCAACAATTTCAAGCATGTCGATGTTTTATTTAACAAAATTATCCGTATACGTATATCCGATGGATGTCCTAGTAAATTATTTTTATTTTTAAATATAGATCTAGCTTTTAGTTCACATGTAAGGGATATAACAATGTTAATCCAGCTAAGGGCTGTTATTCGCATTCTAACCATTGTTAGTCTCTAAATAAAGCCTAAGCTTACTCAAACTCTAAGCAAACAGGTTTAGGTTAGTATTATTTATGTTTTACATAATCGTAAGTAAAACATAAAAGAAGCATACTTTTAACACCATTTTTAATTGTGCAACTTATAGCTGATAGACCATTGAGATTGTATTTTCCCAGAAAGTATAAAAATAACTGTGATGCTGTTTAAAGAAAAGGTCGCATTGGTTAAACTATATAAATAAGCATACTTCTTTTGGAAATTGTGGTAATAATTAGGCCTATAACTTATACTGCTTATCACCGTTTCATAAGGTGAACATTGAAGAGATAAACTGTAAAAACGTATTTTAGTTTTCATAGTCGAATAATTATATGTAGGTCATATGACGTCGTTTATTTGCTTTGGAAAGGCGAGCAAGCTACGAATGCGGTCTGATGGTAAATATGTATAGGCAGTGTTTCTTTCGGACTTTTTTCTCCGGGGGGGGGGTGGGGCGGTCAAGATTTTCCGGGAGGGGGGGGGGGGGAGCGGACATCTTGCTGTATTACTGGGGTAGCTGATAAATACACCAAAAGCCCCCTCCTACGTGGTATACAAACAACGTACAGCCAATTAAAGCCTATGCATCGGGTTTCCAAAATTTCCAGCCAGGACCGATGTATAAATTAAGCTGACTTACTGGGGGGGGGGGGGGGGGCTCTTTGTCCCTCTAGAGATCTACCTAAAAAAGCAATACAAACATGAATTTCGAAACATTAATAAAACCAAGAAAATATTTCATAATTATGAATATGCATAGATCTAGTTATTATGCCTTCATTTTCCTCTAAACATTTTCCAATTTTCTTTTTTTTTCGAGGTGGGTGGGGATGGGATGACTAATCTTATTCATCCCTATTTTCAGTAAACTGTTTATTTGTCCCCATCAAAAAATCCCAACAGAACACACAAATAAACGGCTATTTCATGCTTAACAGCATATCTTCCAGGCATCTCTCCGGGGGGGGGGGGGGGGGGGAGATACATTTGCTGACAAACACAATGGACCGAGCTTAATAAAAACTTTGTTTCAAGCATTAGATTTGATATTGGAGTGGCTAATACTATCGTATATCTCTTATATTTTATCAACGTTTGCAACATATCTTTATATTTAATACATTTTATTGTAAAAAAAATCACGGTCTTTCAAAGGTGCATGACTTCAGCTAAATAACTAGGATAAATTCAAGTTTCAATAATCCTTAAAGTTCTATCCCCCCTCTCCTAATGAGAATATAAGTAAATAAGTCTTAAAGTTTGTTTCAATCTTGCTCAAATTAGGCACTTACAGAACAGACTTCTGCTTTACCCAGGCCACCTTGTTATTTCCCTTGGAATAGGTATATATTTTTTTAATCACGCAAGAGACACTATGACCTATGGCATGTGCGATCTTGTGTGAATAAATTTCTTTCTTTCAAACTGACGGTACGACATGGTAGCTTCCTTTTATGTGGTGAGCGCCAATGTATGTGAAACGGTACACCGCCCACCTACACACACACACGCCCACACACACCCGCACGCACACACATGGAGTATTGTACCCAGTCACGTCGCATTATAAAGCTGTATCAGTGTGTATTGTATAGTAAGCTCATGATTGATGAAAAGACTTTGAACAAAAAGAAGGAGGTAAGAAAGCTAAAACTAAAACATGGAATAATACCTCATAATCTACAAATAGGCTTTCTACTACTAGTGTACACGATGGGGAGGACGGGGGTGGGACCAGAGGCGTAGCGAGGGGGGGGACATATGTCCCCGGGCGCCGACCTTAGGGGGGGCGCCAAATTGAAAGTTTGAGGGGGGGGTGCAAATGAAAAGTTCGAGGGGGGGGGGTGCAAATCGAAAATTTGCTCCCGAGGGGGGCGCCAAATTGAAAGTATGTCCCCGGGCGCCGGGAAGGGTCGCTACGCCTCTGGGTGGGACGGGGTGTGGGGGGGGGGGGTTAAATAGCTCCGAGACGTTGATAATTATAGTAGCTTAATAATACCCTGTATCTAGTTTTTTTTTCTCACGCACGCATGATTTATTTTTTCTTTCGCAACAGACGTAAATACGATACAAAATATTTTTTGTAACTTCAAAATTGACAGAAAGATAAAAAGAATAACAGCGCGCGCGTAAAAATGCAGACTTCACGCTTGACCTAACTTAGACTAAGGAACAAGGCCCTACAATGATGCTTGGCTGATGTTTGTTAGTTTTATTGATTGGGTGGCACAAATATAATAATAGGCGGGAATATAAACCGAGATGAATAAAGACTCAAATTTATAGTTAGAATTGTCGAAGGTTGTTTTACATTGTCAGTATATTATGGGGGGGGGGGGGGGGGGGGGAACTACAGTTCTACCAAACGCCGTATTTTTTTTTGGGGGGGGGGGGGGGCGCAATCCGACCACAAATAAAATGCAGAATTATATGCTCAATTTGTTTTTGTACATCTTTAAGCTAAATTTGTGTAGCGCTAAAACAACAATATCACCAACAAGGAGATTTTTATTACTTAGACCTATACTTTTGCCAGTAAAGTTATTGTAGCATGGGGGAGGGGGCAGTGTTTCTTCCAGACTTTTTTTCTCCGGGGGGGGGGGGGGGGCATTTGTAAGGTTTTTTTTGGGGGGGGGGGGCGGACTAAAATTTCCCGGGAGGGGGGTCGTACACTACAGTTCTACCAAACGCCGTATTTTTTTTTGGGGGGGGGGCGCAATCCGACCACAAATAAAATGCAGAATTATATGCTCAATTTGTTTTTGTACATCTTTAAGCTAAATTTGTGTAGCGCTAAAACAACAATATCACCAACAAGGAGATTTTTATTACTTAGACCTATACTTTTGCCAGTAAAGTTATTGTAGCATGGGGGAGGGGGCAGTGTTTCTTCCAGACTTTTTTTCTCCGGGGGGGGGGGGGGGCATTTGTAAGGTTTTTTTTGGGGGGGGGGGGGGCGGACTAAAATTTCCCGGGAGGGGGGTCGTACACTGGTAAAAGTATGTATTTCCCATATAAATTCTGTTTCGTTCGGGAGGTGGAGGGTGTAGACGTTTTTCGGGGGGGGGGGGGGGGGGGGGGAAAGCTGAGCGACCCACCCGAAGAGATGCCTGGAAGAAACTCTGGGGGGGGGGGGGGGAAATACATAGACTCTAGCAAAAACAATTGAGTCTTTCCAGACAAGTTCTTTGTCGTATCTTGCCAAGTAGGACAAAAAAAAAATCCGATAAAATCATTGCGTAAAGTATGTCATTTAAAGCAGAACAACTGGCTTTTCGATTATGCAACATATGTTTACACATTGTAAAAGTAAATCTGATTTTATTGATTTATACTGGTCTTAGTTTTTAATAGCGGTCTATTTTTACAGTTGTGTAGAATCATTTATAGAGGAAATAATTTTACGAGAAAGACCACACAATCAGTGAGTCAGACAGTAAAAATTCCTCTTTAGACCTAGGGATGCATTTGGGCAGATGAAGTAGAGTTCATATGTTTCTAGAACTCTGCATATGAAGGTATATCACCATTTGGGTGGGGGCGGGGGGGGGAGGGGGATGTTCTTTTGAAGAGATACCTGAAAAAAACTGGCTGTCATTCTTTATCTTCTTCGTCTGATTCATGACGTAGAAACACTAAAAGAAGTAAAAACACTCCTCTCTCAATGGCTCTTGAGTTTAAACAGATAAGTTTCTAGACGTCTTCGGTTGTTGTGAGTACCGTCTACGTTTCTGTTTCTATTTATGCACCAAACTGTCCCACCCCCAGCTCCATCAATTAATTACCCCGTGTTAACTGCTAATTAGCATTCCAGGCTGGTTCTGTCTTTATGTCCTGACTAGGCATACTGCCTAGCTTCGCTTAGGTTTTCAAAAAAGTTGAGAAATTGAATGATTAATTAATAGGTGATTGGCTGTTATGTTAAATGCTTAGGGCCTAAATTTATACAGTGGGGTACTTATTTAATATATATAAATTGATGGAATATTCGCAAACTTATTACTCGCAAGGTCATTAGAACTGAAAGGGCTTTCATAAAAATTATCAATCAAATATTATATTAAATTACTTTTGCAATTAATTTTACAATTTCAATACAATACAAAACTTAATTTATAACAAATTATCTATTTATAACAATGCTATACTTTATGATTTTTGTTTTTTTCTAAAAAAAAGTATACAAAATATTTAAAAAATTGTAACATTAAAAAGTTACCTCCCCTGCTCATAGACCAAATGACCAAATCTCGTATAATGAGAATTTCACTCGCAGTCATTTTTAGCCCTCTTCGAGGGCTTTGATGCTGACCAACAGTTTTTCCATACGGCCCATTCATCTATAGAGGTGTATGCAAAAAATTACCCTGTTTTCCCAATAAAATACAAAGATTATATAGGGAAATACAACTGGTCAGTTTTGACCGCTTTACGAAGTTTTTCCAGATATGCCGAGTTTTTTGTGACACCCCTAGGTGTTCTTCTACCAACTCACAAAATATCAAGGGGGGTCGTCGGAGGAAATTTTTTTTCGTAATAGAGCTCATATAAAGAGAATTTCACTCGCGGTCACTTTTTAGCCCTCGTCGAGGGCTTTGAGTGTAACCGACAGTTTTCCCTAAAGGTCAAGCCATTGACCT